ACGCTACTAGTAACAAGTGCCTTACTAGTAGTAACAAAAAGCTACTAATTTAACTTTGCCAAACGTTCACCTTGCAGCTCTCCCCTGCAGCACGGTGCCTCAGCACGGCTTGGTGCTGCCGGCGCCGGCGCCGCCTGCAACGAGTTCATAGCCAGGCCCCCGATGGCCAGTCGTTGACGTGTTCATAGCATCATCCATGAGAAATCATATGCACGCATGATACACGTGTACTTCCAGCCGAAAATGATTCATAATAGAGCCCAGGGTTCCACAAATGTGTTGTCTTCTGTTTCTTTGCCATTGGGGTCGCGGGGAGGCGTATACAAATCTGTGACCCATAGTCATAGCATGTCACAGCCACATGGACCACACAAAGTAGAAGTTCTATTCGTAAACACTTTTCCCTGGGATGTTTCTGTTTTTTCTAGTCGCTCAGCCTAGCCGCCTAGCCCAGCGTTTGCATCTGCAGTTAGCACCTGTGGGAGGAAGGGCTCCGCCATCGCCCGCACCGCCACGATCGGTGTTGCAGGCGGCCGACCAGGCAACATCACATTGCAAGCTGCATGGGCCGGAGGAACAGTGGGGTGCACCTGGCCCCAAAGTGAACAGCGATTCGCGGTTGGCGCATCGTTGCTGACATGACATTCCAAGAAGTAAAGATAGTAAAGAAGCTTCTAAGCCGGGGGGTAACCTGGCATGTCCTGGATGTTGAACAATGCATCAACATGGCCTTATGGACCACTGCAGCGTTCACCCCTATGGGTTCAAGTCCAGTCGGACTTGTGTGGAACGCTTTTCAGACCCGGCCAAGAAAAGCTTTGAGGCTCACTGAAGATCAGCTTGAGGCCAACTGAAGACCTACAAATTGTACCTCGCCTCATTGATCCTCATTACTATTACTATATATCTTTCTTCTCGTTAAGATTCATTAAATCTTTTGTTTCTGGTGCCTTCTGTCTTACACACCTAAGATTCCACATGAGTCCACATCTCTCCCTGCCTCTTGTGGCGACAGGCTTGTTGGCATCGAGATCCTTCTAATCACCTCATCGCATCCGGGCCCCGTTGTCCGGAATGAGATCAAGAGGCGGGTTGATTTGGAACCATGTACATCCATACACCATCATACACCTATCCTGGTTGTACACTTCGGGGGCGGGGTACCTCTATTCATCAACCAACCTGACTATCGACCACCCATCGGCACCTCCAAACAGCTCACCTGACCTTGGTAAGTCTTCCAGTGTTGGATGCCTCGACGTCTCTTCCAGGGGATCCCAAAAGCCCCAGCAAATCGTGGGAGCCGAAATTCAAGCAGCGAAATCCAGCCCGAGCCAGCGCTCCTGTCCCAGATCCTCAGCTGACCGGTGGTCTTCGACCCCCCATACCCACCCACCCACCCAGCCCTGTCCCATCTTCGAAACGGACGGGAGGTAGGCCAAGAGCCCAAACGGGCAGATTTATACATAAAATCGAATCTACCTGCATTCTCTCAATTCGTACCTCTGGAACAATGGGGACTCAGTCGTATACCTGTGTTTGATGGGGTCATGTCCCATGTTCTAATAAGGTGCTGGGTCAGTCGGGTCCAGGTATTCGGAGTCCGGGGACGCCCGGCAGGCTGGGCCAGCACTCGTGGCGCCTCGGGATGGCCGGCTGAACACCGCGGTGCAGGTCGGAGACATCGAAGCAGATTGGGGAGACCAGGTGAAGCTGGGGCCAGCTGCTTCCAGCTGGTTTTTGGAGGAAGGCACCCCAAAAAACAGAATAATACATATATCAAACAATCCATGGGACTGGAAGATTTAGCTCCATTGACCCTGAAAAGATTCAAAAACCCACCCAATGCAAGAAAACCCGTGGACTCCAGCTGGACCTGTCGCCGGGGACTCCACCCCGAACATGAGACAGAACACGCTGTCCGTGGATGGTGTTTGTCTCGAAGAAAGGCTGCCAGGAATCAGTGGTCACGGTTGCAGTTCCAAGCGTTTTCTCAGGCCACCTACTGAGAACTCTATCAGTCCCTAGGGCTCCAACTACCTCCTGAGAAGATGGTTGGGGTGGGTTTGGGGGGTCTAACCACCTTCTGAGGATATGGTTGGAGCCCTAGGGAGTGGTCACTGGTACCCCAGGATTCGTCCTAGATGTCGGATGCTGGTGGTCCCGTCGGTGAGCGAATGCGGACCGTGCCCAGGCTGGTCGAGCAGCCTTTCAGTTTGCCAGTGGTTTGATGAGCGAAGTGAGTGATTCTTCCAATCCGTTCCAGTCCTTGTTCTTGGAAGTCGGTCACTCGAAGGCCGTCAGTGGTTGGAGCCTGAAATAGCATTTTGTACAGGACCCCCTGGATTTACCTCTGGAAGTACAAACGGGAATATTGTTTCAATGCCCACCCCACCCCAAAAAATCCATGCTTCAAAGTGAATCTCGGCAGTTTTTGTCCACCAGGCCGTCAAGATCGAACTCTTGAAGTGCAATAGTTGCCATGTTTGCCACATAAGTAGGTCACACATCACCAAAGTAGGTCACATCAAGACTTGGTGGATGGCAATAGAAACAACAAAACATGGAACAACTCCAGGTGTCTCCACATCTTTGTCCACCATCCGATCAACCACATGTGCCACTGACCACCGCATGGGCCAACAAATCACACGCCGAGACCTTCGACTCCTCTCGCAGTACGAGGTCTCCACCTGGGAGACCTGGAAAGAGCCTGGCGAAGCCGCTCGACACTCCCGGCTCTCCGGATGTTACCCCTGCAAAGGACCCTTCTGCGGTCTCCCCTCCGGTCTCCGCGAACGTGGAGAAACGAGTCGATGGTGTTTGGCCACGTTTTGCATCCCCGTCCCGGAAGGATGATCCGTGCCGTCACTCGAATGGCGAGAACATGCCAAGTCAGTGATGGTTTAGTTTATATAGACCCTAGGCTTCCAAGACCATTCCCAGAAAGGTTGACCTGGTTGCGTAGAGTCAGGCCATACATATATATATAGAGAGAGAGAGACAAACAAAGGCAGCCTGGGGGTTGGAGCCGTTCTGAAGGGGTTGGAGCCATGTTGGCCCCCGTGTTCGCCACCGGCCCTTCGGCCGGTCCAAGGTTCAAACCCAGAAGCACGTCACCCTTTTTTGAGGATTGGGGGTTCCCCCCTTTTCAAAAGGAACAAGTGGAAGAGGGCTCATCTCTTCCCAGACAATCCATGGTATGGAATATTTACCTACAACCCCAGGTCAACCACCCCTTGCCTGATCGGCAAATATTCCAGTCCCGTGGAGTGTCTGGGTTCTATTTTCCAGCCAAATGGCTTTGGAGTCAGATTGGAAGTTGCAGGGTCTCACTCGCCACGCTCCGCCCCGCTACCGCCATGACGAAGCATCAGCGGAGGAGAGGTGGTGGCGGACGAGAGGTGCTTCCGGCTTAGACGCTGACATAACATGCTCCATGATCCTTGACTTTTCTTCCCTCATGTGTCATGCTCTTTTTTTGGTATATCATAGATCCCTCTGCTATACCAGGACCCAGTGTCGGGGTGCTTCATGGACACCCCAAATCACATCTAAGGGGCTTAACATCTAGAAGCCCCTGGTCCGGGTGTCCTGGTGGTCACAACAGTTGGGACCGTGTTCCTTCCGGCGACTTCCGGCTGCGTCCACACGTTCACGTTCCCCTGATCCTGCAAGGCGTCGAAGGCTCCCGGCCTGGCGTTGGGGAGACGGCACGGCCTCAGCACGGCCATCGAAAGGACGGCCATCGCGACCGAAACAGAATGCGAGGGGGCGGAGAACTAGACACTCCCTGAAACTAAGATGGAGCCTGAGAATTGACCGGTGTTTTCGACCCATCTTCCACGTAGTTTTGGGGTTCCATGTGGTCCTTGCGGGGGAGTATGATGCACTCCCTCAAATCCCTGTAGTTTCGTGGAGAGCCACCTCCCGTCTTGTCTTCGGGGCACTCATGGTCATGGTCATCTGAAGTCGGGGCCATGTTCTCATCCACGTAAGCATGGACTTCGGGGAAAGCAGGCTAATTATGGTGACTTCTGGCTGTAATTGATTTTCAGTACATAAACCCTAGGGCTCCAAGGACCTTCTTAGAAGGTGTTTGGGGTGGGTTTAGAGGGTCCAAATACCTTCTAAGGAGGTACTTGGAGCCCTAGGGAAAGTTATGCATTCCTTGGAGCCTCTTGGTTCAATCGCCAAGTGGTGCAGTCTTTGCAGAGTAATTACAATACCAGATTGAAGGGTAAGCACGCTGAGCAGGAGAAGCATCAGGTGCCCTTGACTTCACGTTCAGAAGTGGACCCACCTGCTTGCAAAGGAACAGCACCTTTTTACGCGCCCTGCCATGCCACCAAAGTGAAGGCCCCATTCCCAAACACAGTCACTCCATGTTTGGTTTGGCCAAACACGGACAAGTGGATTGACGTTCTGGGCGACGATGTCAGGGAGACGACATTCCTCTATAGCAACAGGCCGTGCCATCCACTTCCATGATCCCTTTTCAACCGACCTTCCGTGTATTCCCGATGTCTTCCTCCTCATCGAGGAGGGCTCATTGCCACGGGTTGGTGGAGACCTCCCAACCAATGGCTTAAGTATGCTTTGATCTTCCCGGTCGTTTGGGGGGTCTCCCTATTCCAAATTTCATTTGACTCACGTGCCTGTGGGTGAAAAGCACGGGAATCTGTAACTCTAGTTGGTCCCAGGTCAACCGACCAAGTCTTTTTTTGTATATATATTGATCTTGGACGTCAACCTTCCATGGCTTGTAGGCCAGGTTTGGACCCACATTCTACATGTGGGCGCGGCATCAACTTCAGCCTGCAGAAACCAGAATGAACAACCCAGGCCTCACTCCAATCTCGTTGCAGTGGTTTCAGAGTAGATGGCACAAACACGAAAATGCCCGAGATGGGGTGGATATAAAACACTTTTCGGGGATTGTGCCATAGAGCTGCAACCAATGTATTCCATGATTTTTGTCGTGGTTCTATCTGAAACCTTTTCTCCCTGGCCCTTTACTCAAGCTGCCCTGCGTGTGTGTAGCGCCACAGGTGTGACGCCCGGCGTCGCGCCTGAGGCCTCGAGCGGCAAGGGTCAATGAATCTGTCCCCCCTTGTCCCACGGCAGCACATGGAGGGCATGTGGTGTCCCAGCGGGCACGCATTCACGTGCACAGGCTGTCCGTTCTCAAATCCGTCATTCATTCCATGGACCACCCTCGGGCTATCCAAAAGGGAAGCTCAGACAGTTCGTCAAAGAGATCATGATTCATCAATTCACTCGGCAGAATGAATGGTCTGAACTTGCATTTTGTCCCATCAAAATATCCCAGCAAGAGAGCCCAAACAGAGTGTGTGAGGTCTATAAGCAGAACGTCTAGAGATCTAGTGATGGTGGTGATGAAGGTGGACATCGCGGTGATGGCGCCAGTGGTGGTGAGTGTGAGTGTGAGTGTCTGTAAGTGTGTGCCTGTGAGCGTGGGCGTGAGCGTGAGCGCGAGCGCACGAGCGTGCGAGCGTGCGAGCGTGCGAGCGTGCGAGCGTGCGAGCGTGCGAGCGTGCGAGCGAGCGAGCGAGCGAGCGTGCGTGCGTGCGTGCGTGCGTCCGTCCGGGCGTCCGGGCGTCCGGGCGTCCGGGCGTCCGTGCGTCCGTGCGTCCGTGCGTCCGTGCGTCCGTGCGTCCG